TTCCTATAGACTTTTGTATGCCTAACACTCTCATTAACTTGTGAAATAAAGCTGTAAAGAATTTAGGGTGTGTTAACTGACATGTTTCCTATCATTTGCATTACAACAGGTGCGAACAACAGACTTCGCTTGGAGAAATCCTTCCTGTCCTGCTCGTCTTCAAAAGATCTCATTGTACAGAATCCACGGTTGGCCGGTGCAAAAATACATTCCATTCTAAAGCTGAAGCTAATACAGGGTTGAACAAATCAAGTAGTTCTTGCCAAAGATATCTTGGAGTACTGTGTGTTTCCCCTGACAATGGCAATTCCACAAGAAGACTGATTACGTTTTCACTTTATTTGGTTATTTGTCTAACTCTGCTTAATCCTCATATCAATCTCAGACAAACTTGAACACTTTGTCACCATCACAATAAGAAAAGAATAATTAAATCAAGTTTCACACACTTGGATATCAGTTTCCTAAATATGTCATATTTTATTCAATCTGGACCATATGATTTATTGCCTGAGAATAGAGAAAATGTTGAAATCTATCTTAACTGTTAAAGAAAGTGGAAATGATTTTCTCCGGGTCTGCACCAACATTTAATGAGTTCTTTTACCAAGCCTTATATACTGTAACAATTCTTTTAGAAAAGAAAGCAGAGTGCAGCACATGGCTATAAACAGTGGTAAGCATTTTAAACAGTTCTACAGAGAAACACGATGAGCACTTTGTTTTTTGTTTATGTACAGTATTATTACCGCCCAGTTCTCTGCTGAGTTCTATAGTAGAAAACTCTAGGAAGCCTGGGCGTGTGCAGTCTGTACATTCTTCCACAAGGTGGAGCCTTTCAACCAAGATACAGAGGACAGACAAACCACAACTAACAAAGCAACAGGCAGAGACTGTAGAATCTGTCTAGTTTGAGTAAATGGCCACCTGACCATGGCAACACGGATTATTGTCTGATCAGCTTCTTTGATTTAGTTCCCTGAGATCAGCAGTGGGTGAATAAACATGGTTTGTTGTGACCTCCACATGTCACCTTTGTCCTGATGTTGCTGTCAGGTGAGTTTATTTAGCCCATGTATTCATCAATATACTTATATAGGGTACTTCTTATGAGCTAATTGCAGTTTTCTGATCACATTGGGAGGCTGAGTGTCAGTGTGTCAGTTGGTTTTTCAATATTTTATTTTGTACTCCATGAGCTACCTGTGTTGCAGCCCAGAGATAATGCTATTCTACCTCTTCCACACACACACACACACTGGGCATAAAACAACAGAAGCCAGGTTGCCACCATAGCAACGCTATTACCCTGAAGTGTTGTGAATGGGAAGCAGGAGGCTGCTGCTGCTGCTGCTGATGCTCTGAACTCACACCTTCCTCCTCCTCTGCCGCCGCCCAGTCTCGCCAGGTTCGAGGTGTGTATGTGTCTCTGTCTGCCGGTGATGCACGAGGCTGAGGACGGCGAGGAGGAGTCCAAATTCCAGCAGCTTTTTCTTCTTCCACCTCAAGTCGCCAGCCCGACCGGACGCGCGGATCATGGGACCAGCGGAGGAGCCGAGATGAAGAAATTCACGCCAGGAGGCGGAGCCGCGTCCGCCGCGCGCAAAAACTCCAACAACAACGAGCTGTGGCTCCTGTGCGCCGAGGACTCTCCCCCTCTCAGTGCCGGCGGCACTGCAACCTCTCCGCCGCGCCACAGGGATGCTGCTGCTGCTGCTGCTGGTGGTTGTGGAGGTGGCTCAGAGTCGGACCACTGGAGCGCAGGGGATACAGCGTCAGAGACAGCCATCGGTATGATATGCAACAAAAACGGAGATTGTAGAAGGGACCCGACCAGCTCAGGGAGCCTCTCCTCCCTCATCTCCAGGCAGGAGAAGCAGGCAGATGGAGGAGTAGCGGCGGCAGCGGCAGGAGGACCAGAGGTTCAGGCTGCGAGCATGGACGCTTCACCGGGGTCCCTGACGCAGGGGGCCGAGGTCAAGACCGGGGCATCGATGGAGAAGAAGGACTCCAGAGTTTCTTTCTCCTACGCCCCGACCGGCAAAGGACAGACTCCGAGTCAGCAGTCGAGACATTCTGTCACGTTCTCCAAAGCGGAGGATGGTTCTCAGATAGTTCCGGACGATGGGGACTCCAGGGGGAATCAGACGTACATGCAGCGGCAGTTCAGCTCCATGCTTCAGCCCGGAGTTAACAAGTTCTCCCTGCGCATGTTTGGCAGCCAGAAGGCGGTGGAGAAGGAACAGGAGCGCGTCAAATCAGCGGGTAATTGGATTATCCACCCGTACAGCGACTTCAGGTAGGGGTTCTACTGAGGATGTGATGTTTGTTTGATACTGTGGATATAGTGGAACCTCATACCCCTTCTCTATAAACTCAATATGAGGAAAAGGCCAAAAATTCAATGTTTCCCATTAAAGGAACCTGGACAATAAACAGCAGCCAGTTAGTATTAATGCTCCAACTGTAACTTGTAATCTGACCCAATAGGTTCAACTTGTCCTAAACAAAGATAATGTGTAATTTCAATAAGTCATAATAAGTTGAAAAAGTTGCGTCACTGAGCTGGAATGTGTCTGAACATCTTTTCAGCACCCCGGACAGCTCCCCCACTGATCTGTACAACACAGGACTGATGATTTGAGCTCTCTATTAAAACATTACTCATCATAACATTAATTTTTAATTATTGTAATGCCCTTTAACTGGCACAGCCTATACATTATAGGATCCATGACTCACAATGCACTTCCCCAGTTCCTTATTTCTAATTGATCCCGAAGCTGAGTAAGTTGCACTCTCTCAACACATAGTTGCTGATTAATTATGTTGATGTGAACTAATGAAGTCACAGGGCAGTGGTGTGGCATGACTGACATTTGTACAACTCCTGTTTTAGACGAATAAATGTATCAGTAAGTAACCGGATATTTAGGTGATAGAGCATTAAACTGTGGCCATGTTTACTGCACAGGTCTCTGTATCCTTTGTTGTTTTGTTTTTTTTAAATTAACTCAGCACCCAGTTTGTCTTACCTGTGACACTCCTGTCTCTGTTTGTCCTTGGTGTGACCTTGTTTTCAAGCATAGGTTATCCGACCAGAAGCAGATACAGAGCACTTTAAGTGCTTCATCAAAGATCAGCCATTTTTACTGTGGTTACAGGGGGGGTGCTGTTCTTTGACTGTGTGAGGACTTCATGATACAGAGGAAGCTGGAAATTCCACTTGTCATAAATCAAGCACAATCAGCATGTGATATGCACAGAAAATAGCAACACTATAACTGCCTGAAACTGGCTCAGATTTAATGTGCTCTCATGTGTTGTTGTCCTTTGTATTGTCTTCATCCAACCCATCAGGTTCTACTGGGACTTCACCATGCTGATGTTCATGGTGGGCAACCTGATCATCATCCCTGTGGGCATCACCTTCTTCAAGGACGAGACCACCACGCCCTGGATCATCTTCAATGTGGTTTCCGACACCTTCTTCCTCATGGACCTGGTTCTCAACTTCAGGACGGGCATCGTGTTTGAGGACAACACCGAGATCATCCTCGATCCAAAGAAGATCAAGAAGAAGTACCTGAAGAGCTGGTTCGTGGTGGACTTTGTCTCCTCCATACCTGTGGATTATATCTTTCTCATCGTGGAGAAAGGGATCGACTCGGAGGTTTACAAGACGGCCCGGGCGCTCCGCATCGTCCGCTTCACAAAGATCCTCAGTCTGCTGCGTCTGCTGAGGCTCTCCAGACTCATCCGTTACATCCACCAGTGGGAGGAGGTAGGTTTCGTTCAACCACATGAAAAGAAGGAGGGTTCAGGTTCACTTTAGTTTGAAAATAAAAGGATGGAACAGTTTGGTGGGATAGTTACTGATTACATTTTTGTAATGATTACAGCCAGTTGAGGTGTAGGACAAGAATATTGGCTCAGAACCCATGTTAATGAATATGATAAAATCCTATAGTGATAACACACAATACACAAGTGAAACACAAAGGCTAAACACAAGGGACACCTCTGTTTTACATTGTGTTTTGTATTTCAGAGGTAAATCGTACAAAATGTAAGATACAGACAGCTCTTTATATGTCTGTCCTGACTGATTTAGAAAAAAATATCTACATATATTTAATTTAACACATTTCTAACTGAAACAGTTAAAGTGCAGTTTAAATAGTTTAGTCTCTTCACTGAAATCTGACAAAATAACCTCTTTCATTATGATAAAAATAATGACACAAAATATTAAATGAATCCTTTTTTGTATGTTCCTGTTGCTTTTTGTTTATAGAAATAAATAAGATACTGGCTGATAGGATGGACGCTAAATCGTATCAGTGTATATGTTGTTTTTGTATAAATCTAAAAAAGGATACTTTGGGACTATATACGATTCTGGATGCTGTCTTCAATCTTCTGTTGCTCATTATTTTCCTGCCAATATATTCTCTTTACATATTGCAGTATCCTAAGTTACCTTGTTGACTGACAGGATGCAGGTTCACTATTATGAGGCGTAACTTGTAGATCAGAAGAAAATGTTCACACAAGAGTTCTTTTGATGGATTTTAGGATAAAAGACGTATCAGCATCACTTCCTCTGCACTGATGATCCCTGATGTGTGAGTGTGGAAGAAAGATGCATCTTGGATACGATGACAAAGTATTGCATTATATTTGCTCATAAATAAAGAGAAACTATAGTCCCACTGTCATTAATAATACAATATTGAATTCCAGCACAGTGATTTGTGTTTCTAAACAATGTCCTCATCTTCTGTACAATCACTTCCTGACACACTTTAAGTCTGATAGCTGGATATTAGCTCATCATAAACCAATCTATGAAAAATGAATTTGTGCTCATCAGTGGGAAACTGAAAAGGGGATTTCCCATAAATAAGACAACCAACATTTTTCACATTTTTATAATTGTCTTCTTATGACATATTAACTAATCAAGCATCAAACTGTTTTAAATGGATACTGAAAGAGTGGATGATAGAACAATTTCAAGCTTTACATTACACAGCAGAAAATAATATGAATCTATTATCCATCATTTACCCTGATGCCACCATATAAACCCTTTTTATCTCTATATAAACCAATGACTCCATTTTCGGACAACCAGTCATCTAAGAAAGAAATGTGTGTTTCCTCACTCTAAGAATAACTGGTGCTGTTGTGATTACAGAGTGGTAATTTGAGTTTGAGGAGAACCATAATTACTGACTTACACACACACACACACACACACACACACACACACAACCGAATGCTCCTGTTCTTCTACTGAGCCCCTGCCTTGATCAGCTCAGATGAGCTGAGCTCTGCTCTCCTCAGCTCGATCCAAATGAGGCTGACTGTCTTTTCCCAATGCTCTGCTCAGCTCGGCTCAGCTCGGCTCAGCTTGGCTCAGCTCGGCTCAGCTCAGCTCACTGCAGCAGCCGGGTCTCTTACAGATCATCTTAGAGTTGATGATTTCACTGTTTAGTCCAGCAATAGAACAACTGAGTGGACAATGACCTTGTTCAAATTGATGCTGATAACCAGTATGTCAGACATGATATTAGAATAGACTGAGGTGTGTGTGTGTTTGTTGTGCAGCCGACACAGCAACAGAGATAAGCGTTGTCAGAAATAGCCAGAGCAATTTCCTGAGGCAGGAAACGTGTATCAAGGCTCTCCACTTGCTGGCATGTCGTTTTCATGAGGTAGATTATGATGGTGAATGAGTGCGAGCGAGTGCACGAGGGTGGGGGATTAGATTCGATGGTGGTGGGTGGAATTTAAATCAAGTTTGTTAGTTTTCTCTAAATGTTATCACCTGAATCTTTTGGGTGAACTGTGGTGCCGCAGACGGGAGAAGAACATATTTCATCTGTGTTTTCCAGACAGTGAGCTGTGGTCACAGTAATGTGCCCTGACCCAGATTGTGGTGTGACAGTGACACATGGCCAGGTACTGTTCTGGTGTCGGGGGGAACATTAGTCCTGGAGCCTCATTAATCTTGATGGGTATATGCTTCCTAATCACAGAGCAGGACCTCACAGTGGGTTTCCCTTTCTCCTTCTACAAACTGGCAAAGGCCATTAGATATTATCTCAGATACTCAGAGAGTAAGTGTCTTTGGCATTTGTTCAGCAGCAGATAACATTTCTAAATGGTTGGCACGGAGCTTTATGAACAACAATCACGCACATTGGAAAATGGAATGAGAGTGTTGGCCAGTCGGATGGAGTGAGATGTTTTGATGGTCGGCCTTCTTGTGTTGTCGCTGTAACTAACGAGAGACAGTTGCATGCTGGGATTTAGTAGGAGAGCAGGTTTTGAAATTCAAGTGAGCTGACAGGATGACTCACCGAAAGTCCTGACCCGGTTGCTCTCTCACACACACACACACACACACACACACACACACACACACACACACACACACAATGGGAATCTGAATTCTCATTGTCTGAATCTAAATGGAGAATCTGGCTGACTTCACATGCAGGAAATGTCCTAAGTGAGAAATTAGCTTTTGTTTTGGATATCAGAAATCATTAAATTGGCTCATAAGGCAGGGTTTTCCAGTATACATAAATGGATATTTTATTGACAGACACACACACACACACACACACACACACACACACACACACAAACAATGGTAACAAGGTTTGGCCGATAGCCAGCGAAGCCACAGTGAGAGGTGTTTATAAGGCTGCGACCACAATGACCACAATACCAGCTCCACACAGATGAACCTTCGTGCCTGAGGCGAGTGATGCTGAGCAACAGCAGAGAGAGGCTGTTGATCAAAGCTTCATCAGTGTCTGATGAGGTTTGATCATGACTGAGTACAGACCGCAGACTGTGCTTGTTCACTTTCTACACCTGGTTATAATTTAGAACCTCAGCCTGAGACATTATTTAAGTCTGAGTGAGGAGGCATGATATTCATCACGTCTCAGAAAAAAGCTTGAGTGTAGTTTTTCACTCCACTCAGAAAAACAAGTCTGATTGAGTTTTCAAAGATAACCATGGCTGCAGCCCATCCGCACAGGCTGCCGATTGAATTAAACTTGCACCAATCATATTTATATTTCAGCCATTGGTTGAATATCTACCTATAATTAGAGAGGTGTTGCTTATTGTATTAATTATCAGCCGCCGCCGCAGTTTAGTGTCTTTCAGACACATTAGGCAACTTTTTATGTCAAAGAAACAGTTGTGCACTACAACAAATTTAGCAACTAAAAAAACACAAACAACAGAAAACAAGCTAATAAAAATTTAAAAATTACTTCAAATGAATACCTTTTGTTCTGCAATGTCTTTCAGCAAAGCAATATTATATTATTATTATTATAATTATGTCATTTGCAGTCTTATTTTCAGTTACCTGTTGAACTTAAACCCAATGTTCACTCACTTTTACCTCTGGCTTTGATCTCACAAAAACCACTGGTGTAAATATTTGGCTCTTCAGCTGCTAAATGCTTCATTGTGTTGACTAACTAGCGGCTTACAGATAGTGTACAATGTTTTATAAAGGTTTTTGTTAAAAAACTGTAAATGACACTATGAGAGCAGTGAGACTGAACTGGGACAATGAAGATTTGAACACAACGGCTTAAAAATGACCTGAAACTCAGTTTCAGGTTTCACTATGGTTCTATCTCTGACATTGTCATTTGATTGCATTTGTAAAAATAATGATAATAAGACATTCATAAATGTTCATGTTTGTATGGATTCTGTCTGTATCCACTGCTTTGTCATTCTCTTCACACATCTGTCTTCGCCTTTCCTCCTCACCACGTCTGTAACCCTCTGTTCACCCATCTCCTCTCCGCCTGACAGATCTTCCACATGACCTATGACCTGGCCAGCGCTGTGATGCGAATATTCAACCTGATTGGTATGATGCTGCTGCTGTGTCACTGGGACGGCTGTCTCCAGTTCCTCGTTCCAATGCTGCAGGACTTTCCGTCTGACTGCTGGGTCTCCCTCAACAAGATGGTGGTAAGCGTTGGCCTGTTTTTGTGTTTACATAATGTGTGTTCGCAGACATTAAAGGTAACATTAAAGTGAAGTTACACAACCACATGAACATATGCATGCAAAAGTGTTTGACAAAACAACGACTGCGAAACCAGCGTGCAAATCATTTCCCCTATGGAGCTCAAAGTGTGTTGGAGGCAGATGGGGAAAAGGGATTTATTTAAAGTTGAGTCTGCACACATTCACACACACATACATACACATGCACACACACACACACACAAACGGCCTTAATTAAACCCTCACTAATAGAACCCAGGAGACATGGCAGTGCACAGACAGCAGGAGCGAAGGATGACAAAAAGAGCTTGTTTCCTCCCGGTTCATTCTGCATGTCATGTGGTTTGCTCTTGTCTTTCTTTCTCCTTTATTCCTCCTCTCAGACATCCTATCTGGCAGGTAGTTTCTGACCATCTGCTGATAGACAGACCATTAGGAGAGGGTTTCTCCCAAATTATTGTTGGCATGAAAAGGAGAACTCTCTGGAGAGAAAGTGGTGCAACGTTCAAGATGCATGAAAAGCAATTATCTCGCCAGATAATTAATAAATAAACAGCATTAAAAGCACATTGGTTTTGGACTTGCAACCTGCAACAACATTCGAGGATTTTGCAGAACAAGACAACTGCATGTTCAGTTAAACTCTCATTGTATAATAATATCACATATGCAAGTTGTCGGTTCATCAGCATCGACTGAATATGGGAATACTACAACTTTATTACTTTTTTTCAAACAGAACATTAGTTCTGGCCACCAAGGTCAAAGCCATGGTGGCCTCACAAGACATGATTTTGGCCTCTTGAACATGACCTCAAGTCTGCCCTTAGGGAATTTCTTCAAATTTTGACCAGTTGAATGAGTTGATCCAAGTGGTCAAAAGTCACAGTGACCCATTAGCTGTAAAATACAGTGATTGAAATACAGATTGACATAATCTGTGACACAGCCAAATTATGTTTTTGGTTGACTGCTTCTTACTGCTGCGATCAGAAGGTGCAATAACTTGCGAGATTGACTCAAACTACTTCTTGGAGGGAACATCACATTTTGTGTTGAGTCTAAGGAAGTTCAGCAGACTGGATAATTCCATCTTTATACGTTTGTCAGGTGCGGGCTCTTTCCTGAGAAGTCTAACGCTGAATGAACTTTCTAAATTTGGCACATAGAGCTGTGACTCTCAGACCTCTGATAACACTGTGACATGCTGGTGTATGTGCACAAGTGTGTTTGGATGTGCGTGTGTGTGTGATCTCCAGGAACAGATGGATCTCACACCGACTGACCCTAGGGGACTACACTGCTGCTCTCTTTCTCATTCCATTTCTTCTCGCTTCTTCCCTTGCCATCTTTGCCCCCCCCCAACACCACACACACACACACACACACACACACACACACACACACACACACAACTTTCCTGTCTGTGTAGATCCCTGCTGTGCATCCACTCTTAAAGTCACTTCTAATTCAGATGCAGGAAACCTCAGAGTATCATAAACTTGCTAGATTTCTTATTAGCATTAAACCCCATATTCACATGTTTTGTTGTTGTTTTCACAAGCAGTTTCTATAAAGCAGGCAGACATTTGTTTCTATATGGTTAATTAACACCAAAGGGTATGAATGCAGAGAAAATATATTGTTCTCTATGCTCTCATCCATGAATGCATGAATCCAAGCTGCCCTTCTTCTTCCTCCTGACTTGTTTGGAACCTTGTCGCTCCCTCTTCCTCCTCCCTGTGTTTACGCTCACTTCTCTCTCTCTCGTCTCAGATTGATGAGTGTTGTTTCTTCCTGTGTGCTGTTTTCTTCCTGCCAGCCCTTTTCTTCCTGTGTGCTGTTTTCAAAGATCGATGTCACAATTCTGGCGAGTGCCTGTGTGGGTTGTGGGCGTGGCCGCCTGGTGTGCTGTGCTGCTGCCATATTCGTGTAATCACGCTCAGGGGTCGTTTTTAGAGTGGCTTTGGATGAGAGAGCTGTGTTAAGTGATCCTCCTTCTCATCCTCGTGCCTCTTCCACTGGCTGTTGGCCTGTGCTTGACGATAACCTGGACCCCACCCCACTTTTTCCAATTTGCATCATCCCTATACTCAGGCTGTGGAAATACAGCCAGAATGCCTTTGTATAGAAACAACACATAATTCAATGCTTTTTTATCCGACCATTAAGAAATATTTGAAATAACCAAACCCCCCTACAACAGTATTCAGCTCTGGGTTTTAACACTCAAACACAATCTTGTAAACAAAGTGCACGCAGCAGACACTGGTGTTTATTACACACGGACCTTCTCTCTGTTTTAGTACGAACTCTGTCTCAGTATTTAATGTTTAGATATTTTCCTGTAGGAGAAGAGGAGCTTCTGTAACCACAATAGTACACCAACAAACTCATTGCTAATTTTGCAATGAAAAAAAGTGCTACATTTGTGTTTGCATTATGATCTCAGTGATGTAACATGCGTTACGTTTTATTCTGCTTCACATGGTTTATCATTACAGAGACCTCAATCTTTGAACCAGCCTACAGTAATTTTACATGTTCGTTATTTGAAATGTGTTTTAAATCCATGTAAACTAAACCGGGGTTGAGGTTACACATTTATATGGATTATGTGGATTATTAGCTCCTATCTGGACCATGTGATAAAAAAAAAAAAAAAAAATAGCCTCAAAGTCTGGTTGGAGCGGCCGTCTTTGTGGGTCAAGTTGCCTCTGTGAAACCAACCCAATTTCCAGAAGAAAAGTTGTCCTGTCTTATTCAACCATTTACTTACGAATGTGGTTTTCTGTAAAAGTTCTGTAGTTCTGTTTTTAGATCTTGTTTAATTTTAAAAACACATAAACACACAGATACAAGAGACTTATTTAAAATCAAATTTTACCTATAAAACATAGTTTCTGTAGAATAGAGAACTTTATGGAACCTTGTGTTTCATTTAGCTTTGACTGTAAAGATGGACGACATGTCAAATCCCCAAAAGTGAAAATATCATGATCGCTTCCTGGTGACTGGCTGCCGAGGGTCTTAAGCCATGCCTCCTCCATGTCAGCATATAGGACAGGGCTCAAAGTAAATTTGAACAATTACACTGATGTTTGTCCATGTTATACATGTCAATTATTTTTTGCTCAAGATGGTAGCACCCTTATCCAGGATATTTTGGCGTTGTTTTTGTACAATGGGAGGAAAAGGAAATGTGTTTATATAAACAATGCTTTTACAAGATCCTGAGGGACAGTGTATGAATATCATGGCATCATTTGATATTACCAATTGAATCGCACTGTTAACGAGGCTAAAAAACAACCCATTCTTCAAAATACTATAAACATCTTCTTCTTTAAATATTACAGCAAAAGCTTTGCCTCACACTGGTTTACGCTCAAGTTATATGGGCACAGCTTGCATCATCAGAGAGACATACTCTCCATATGCACATGTTTGCGCATCAACGGCCATCTGAAATTTACAGCTGTGTCTCAGCACAGATGCTGGTTCTCTGAAGTACAGAGCCCATGTTGGTGTTACCACAACCAAGACTATCTGCTGAGTAGGCATTATTCAAATGTGGGCCAATGTGATGTCATTTGACATCACATTGAATGAAGTGTTTTCTTTCATATTGAGTTAGTGTGACTAAATCAAATCACTTGAAAACTGTAGTTCACCTTAATTTAATGAAAACACTGTCGGGTTTATTCATGCTAACTCAACATGATAGAGAACACTTGATTCAATGTGACCCTTAAAATTTAAGTTCTGTATAAAGTTACATGGAACTTTAATATGTAGCTGAAATAAGTGAAGTCAAAGTTTTTGGCATGTTTTTTTGAGTGAGTAAAAGCATTTGTCATTAACATTGTTAGGTAATTATTGGAGGCACCAAAGCACCTTGTAACTTTTTCTACTTGGTTTTAAATAATGAATAAAAATACGAACACGAAGGCTCTAAATAATTAATCTATTCATTACTAACAAGCTCTTTTGGCAGTTTACGTATTAAAATTCTAGACGTCAATGTCATCTAAATGTCAGTAGTCAACCACACTCTCCGTTTCAGATTTAGATGACAGAGTCAGAGAGCAATCGCACCCTGTCAGAGTGATGCTGAGCATGACAACCTGCACACACTCAAATACAAGCTGAGAGTCAAACACCATGTATGCCTAGAGTGCCAGCATGCATGTACATTCACTATTCTATAATTACGCCATCATGCATCATAGATGTCCCATGCCCCCTTCGTGTACCTTGCTAAATATATTATGTACAATTAGCTATCATCCACACTGCTCAGTGAAGACAGAGCTAATTTCATTAGTTTTCTCTTCCCTCTCCCCTCTTTCCCCAGGGTGGTATCTCTAGAATTAGTTTATTGTGTTACTGTGAAAGTTGTCATTTTCAATAGTAAGAGACAGCTGTACACTGTCAGTTTTAATAAGCTATTATCTCAACGATAAATTCATACAGACCAGATATAGCTGGGCATTATGAGTTGTCCAACTCTTACAGTCACATGCAAAAATGTACTTTCTCACATAGAGATAGGCAGTTAAAACATCAATACCACTGGCTTATCTGTCCACGAAATATAAAGGCTAGCGGCTAATTAGCTTAGCTTAAGACTATGTGCAAAGGGTTGGAAACAGCTAACCTGGATCTGTCCACATCAACCAGATTTTCCAGTTTCACATGACATTAGTCATTAGTTTCACACGACATCTCATTTCTGTGTTTCTTGAATTTGTATTGTCCTAGCGAGATCATATATTGAATATAAAAGTGAAGCTGAACTGTCTTGATCACCCCCTGGTGGCTGGCTGCAGTATAGGTGATAAAGCCTACCTCCTCCAGCTCTAAAAAGTCAATGTATGGGTCAAATAAATTCTTCTCAAAGGTGGGTACTGTAATTATAGGTAGGTCTTATCACACTGATGTTTGTTCGTGTTCATGCTTTAGGAAGTTTGTTTTTAATAAGTTATTTAATGCTATAAAAAGAGATGAAACGTAATGATTGACAGCTGAGACTGACTGGTGATTGGCTGAGCGTGTGTATCCACCAAATCTCAATATCACATCTCAAGCCCTCAATCGCTACTGTACTGACTCTGGCTCCAAATCACATCGTCAGCGCAAGATGGCAGCGTTCATATCCAGGATATTTTGGCTTAATATCTGGAAAGTGGGAGGAAGTAGAGACAGGTCGTTCATATACAGTCTATGAGTGAGACTCAGTGGAGACTAAACAAAGTAATTGCACCTAACCAACCGAAACATTTCTATGAATACAGTGAGATGAAATGATTTATACCTTTTACTGTATACCAACAGTTTGTCACAGTCTTTGTATTTTTTTCAAGATAGTCCAGTTGCACATTGCTACAGATTAGGAATAATAACAACAATAAATGCCACTATAGCATAGGGCAGTAGTAGATACGCTGTTTTACTATTAAGACTTGTTTAGATCACAGATAGACCAAAGGCTATTTTGTGATGTTATCAATGGTGCGGTCATGACCTGATCAATACGATGAGAGTGAGAGAAGAGCTAGCCATGTGTAAAAAGGTATATTTCTGTGCTCTGCCTCTGGGTTAGGGTCTTCTCCTGCTGTATATCCATCACAATGTGGCCAGCATGTTGATGCTACCTGGAGGGATTCAGCTCCAGGTCTGTTCACCACCTGGGGCAGTGGGGATGAGGCGCAGACTGAGGCTGCAGAGTTTAAATGTTCTGTCAGGGTCTGTAGGAATATTTCTTATTATAATGGGCTTCAGGGGCTGTAGATACAGTGACCTTGCAGTTGCAAGGATACATCATTGTAACAAGAAAGCTGGAGATTTATGATGCCGCTTAAAATGTTAAAGGCTTCAAACTGTTGTGGGATTCTCTGTCTTTAATCGAAGATTAGCAGGCCCAGTTTAAATCCTGCGACAAATCTAAACAATTTATCCAGCTGACAGCTCAAAACACGATATGTAAAAATTAGTCATGCTTGGGGCTTGAGCTTTAAAGCTCACAGTCTGACACCAGGACTGAGTTTCCGGTTGTCCTGTTGCTCGAAGGCGGAGTGCCTTTAAAATTTCTTCCTTTTTCTTTGTGGTTCTTCAAATCACCTTTCTGAATACTAGTTTGATAGCAGCCCTCTTTCACCTCCTCCAAAACCAACTACATTTGAATCTCAAATTAAATGCAAATGATGCTGGAAAAAAAACAAATCAGAGGAAAACCCAACCAGTCAATCAGAGGCTGCGAACACCACTCATTCGGGGACAAACACTCAGAAACAGATTGATGAACTTCGGGGAGTGTGTGAGCCCCAGCCGTGGCTGAATGGGAGGGGGGGGGGGTTCAGCTGTGGAGTTTCTAATGACTCTAACATGAGGGAATTAGAGTTGACTGAATGCTTGAGCACCAATCAAAGGCAGACTGGAGCAGGCAGATGCACAAGCTTCTCATTAACACTTCTAGCCCTTATCTCCTTCCGCTTGTCCAAGACAAGGCGAAGCAGCACAGTGGTGATGATTAGGCTCTCCACCAAACCTGCAACAATCACCAGACACAGGGCCATCATATTTTTTCAGGAATGTCTTTGAATTTACTATTTCTATCCCCACACATATATTTTCAATGCAGTGTGTCTCAACAGTATGCTACCTTTGGCAGAGATGACAGGCTCAGGTCATCGGGTCAAAACCACTGAAGCAGGAGAGTAAAAATAGTAGGAAGCTTTTCGATTGGAGTGGGCACTCTGAGGATTATATTTATATTGATAGATCTTGAAGACATCCATAATCTACTGTCTTTAACAATGTAGCGATTGTGATACGTCCTCAACTATACTCACTTTCCTCTAATAATGTGGATCCATGCTGCACTTATAAACCGTCATTATTGCCTGTCGTTGTCTGGCAACACACAGTCACATATTTCTCAAGGTAAAGTTTCAGGGGGATATTCAACCATCTTAAATGAAGGCATCCAAATAACATGCTGAGTGTTTATCTCACGTCAGTACAACAACAATCATCTTTTTCTCATGAGGTGCAGAAACATAATCATTTAGCAGTGAGCAAAGGATTGGAGACCATTAAAACCCTGATATTTCTCTACTATCACTTCCTTATTCTAATAGTTTGTTATCCTAAACTCTCTCTCTCTCTCTCTCTCTCTTCCCACAGAACGACTCATGGAGCGAGCTCTATTCCTTCGCCCTCTTTAAGGCCATGAGCCACATGCTGTGTATTGGATATGGAAGACAAGCCCCAGAGAGTATGTCGGACATCTGGCTGACCATGCTGAGTATGATCGTAGGAGCCACCTGCTACGCCATGTTCATCGGTCATGCAACTGCGCTCATCCAGTCTCTGGACTCGTCGAGGCGGCAGTACCAGGAAAAGGTCAATATTTAACATGTTTATCATCTGAAATGAAAGTGTTATATAAAATTATCAAACCCACAGAACACCAACAGTCAGTTCAGATGAGGAGATAGTGAGCAACATGCCTATAAGCACGTCTAAAGCTTATTAAAGGTGCAGTGTGTAAGATTTAGGTGAAAGGGCAGAAATTGAATGTAGAAAAATCCTCATGATGTTTTCAGTTGTTCATTTCATCTAAATTGTATGAATTGTAGTTTACTTTACCCCAGAAAAGGCCCTTTATATTTAAATACTTTATATTTACATCGAGGGGACCCTCTCTATGGAGGCTGCCATGTTTTTCACATTAGTCCAGACTGGACAAACTAAACACCTTTTGAGTTTTTATGACAACTGAAGCTGCCACAGGTTCTCTTACATGTTTGGAAGCAGAGGGTGAGGTGAGGGGTGTTCTGCTGCAACATGCAATTTCATCACTAGATATCACAAAATTCTACACACTGTACCTTTAATTAATACTGAATGTTGTGTATGTTTATTCTGTATTCAGATACAAAAGAAGCAGTGACACATTTTTTTATAATTGCAGCAACAATTTATTTCAAGCTGGCAATTTTCCACAGCTTCAACTCATTAAACTTGCTGCTTTGGCCTTTTACTTGATGCACCTATATGAGTGTGGCAGCAACCTTCTTATTCAATACAGAGCAAGAAAGCAACAAATGGGGATTTGATCTCAAACAATTATTTTGATAAATCTCTTTTCAGAAATAATAGTCCTGGTTACTCCAAATAATCCAGAGACTGTGCTGTTAGCTTTGTGAAAACTGTGTGCTGTGTTTAATATCAAAGCTGAGACACTTTCTTCTGATAACATTTGTAAATTCTCAATGGCACCAAAAACAACATTTTACCTCAGTGTCATCAAAAATCTTAACCTTAATCTGCAGTACAAGAAAATATTTTATTTGGATGACCATAACCCTTACATTTAAAGTGGCTTATACTAGCTATTGAAAAACTCTGTGGCTGTGTGAAGAAAGAAACAGATGCATTTACTACACCCTAACTGCCGATCACAGGTAATATAATTCAGTCTGTTAGATCCAGGATGACCTTACTGGTACCCAGATGGTCCCACTGTCTACGAGTGAAGCCCGATGCCACTTGTAGACTCATGAGGATATTTAGTCTACAGTTATAGGCCCTTACAACACTGTAGACAAGGTTATCACATTTAATATGAACAGAGAGAATTTTCTCAATTGATTCCAACACACTTTGATAGGAACAGCATCTGTTTTATTAGTTGGATATTCATGGTTGGAGCTCGCTGGGCCTCGGACCGTCTGTCGTCTCCAGACAACAGCAGATCGGAGCTGCGGGTGTCTGCAAACCAGGGAACATGCTGATGTGGGGATGTCTCATGTTATCTGTCACTCATACACATGTATGCAGTCATGCACATACACATCAGAGTGATTGGTCAAGCTTTGTTGTCTGAGCCTCTGGCTGGCGTTTAAAAAAATGATCAGGTTTTCTTCTGAGTCGTCATCAGCATGTCGCTCTACGTGTTTACTTTCGGACTCTTGTGGCGTAGCCGTGCATCACGTTGGAGAGATAATCATCTTGCTATATTTTCTAGGTCATGATATCAGTGAGCATCCATGATGATGTTGAGTTTATAGCAGACCCGTTCTCCTGTGGGAGGACTTCTGACGGTCTTGAAATTGTAATGAAGCTACTGTATGTATGTGCCAGATTTATGAGCATGGTAAACACAACTGGGAGTGGATACATTATCAGTGGATCTGGGCCACACCATCCATAATCAGTGAGCATACATACTGTAAGTGTAACTACATGGTGGATATGCACTTTACGGACGCACAACAAGGGGTTCTTCTGATGCGACCACGGAAACATCTCTTTACACAGACAATGAACTGTGGATAATCCAAGAACTCCTGTTCACAGTGTCTCTCATTAAGGATGTTGCTCCTAAATGTCATTTTTAGTCCCTCAAGCAGCACACGCTAAAAAAAGTCAAGAAAGCAACATCTATTTTTATTTGAACCTACTTCTCTTTTCATTTTCTTTCTATTTTTTGTCTTTCTTATCTTTTATTACCTCCACGAGGAGTTTATGTTTCATTGGCATTTATCAGTTTGTATGTTAGAGAGCATTGTGCTGGGTGTCGTGAAAAGAGTGTATCCAGATAAATGTGTGGATCCAGGAATGTTTGTTTTTTGCCTTGGCAGAGGTATGAGCTCTCCGAGTGCTCCTCTCATTATTTATTAATTTGTCTTTTATTATTTCATTCTTGTTCTCAATATTTTTTGTAGTTAACCTTGATAAAGGGCTATTTTCAGTATTCAGTTATGGTCCTTACTATCTGTGTGAAAGCTTCTACTATCAGTCCAATGTGTGTATATTAGACAGCAGATATACAATATCACACAGATTTAATAGTAAACTAGAATTGCACTCAGACAGCGCATACCTCCGCCAACACACAACAGTCCCCTTATGAAACCACATTCAAAGATGAAGTGATATATGCATGTGTAATTTTGGTGTAGATCCAGATAAAATAAATCTGGATCTACACCAAATTGCACATACATATATCACTTCATCTGTGAATACATATATCACCCTCCTAATCATGCCTGATCAGGCTCTGTACCTAAATTAAATGGGTTATTTCCTGAAACTTACAGCATCTTTCCACCAAATTGAATCCTGCTATCTACCAGACAAAACCACAAACAAAAACACAACCTCCTTGGCAGAGGAATTAAAGTCAAATTCAGAGGAAAATGAAATCAAGGTCCAAAAGGATATGATTATTTTTTGGTATGGGTTTAAAAATAATAACAGAGCCATGTTTCTATTAATTCCATTAATTAAATAGTTACCTCTTAATCAGAAGAATTTCTTGTTTCCTGAATTTTCTTTGGTTTGTGCCAAATGATCTATACAAGCCATCCATTTCTGCCTAACATATTTTAGACCTTTTTAACCACTCCTACAGATGTCAATCAGGCCATACCAAATTTTGCACATTGATGCTGTAAGTCTAAAGGATGTTTTCTTACAGCAGGGACAGTTCATTAGCTACAAACAGAGACAGACTAAGACAAAGGACAAACGAGCTGCTGACTCTGAGTGTCTGTTTTGTGTCAGTTACGTGTCACTGTAGTTTGTCAGTGATGTGACGTCTGGAGCAGTCAGTTCCTGCTGCTGTCCTTCTCGCTTCCTTCCATGATGCAGTGAATTAATGAACAGAGAGGCAACATCCTGCTTGACTGAGACAACAGACCCAACATCCATGTATCCCATGACCGTTTGTTCATCATTAACCAATGAACTGAGTTGTGCTGCACGGCTGTCTGCAGTAGGTCCATCAGATAACAGACTGGAAACAAAGCTATGGGATGGAACTTGCCTCCCTGACAAAACAGATTCTTTGCATAAATGCTTGCGACAGCATGAACCTTTATTGACATGACACAGAGTAAACAGCCGGCATCGTCATCAGTGTTGTGACAGAAATGTCATAATAGCTCTGTCGCTAAGCATCTTCTCCAGAGAGTGTAAATGTGCAAAGACCCCCCTGACTAAAGAGAGATGTGAAATCAAACTGTTTAACTGTGGGTTTAAAAGTAAAAAAAAATGCTGAAGTCATTTTTTTTCTGCCTTATCAGAATTGACACATGCTGTTTGGTTAGCTGTGTGTTTAGCAGGTCTGGGCACAAGATTTGAATAGAGACACACAGACCCACACACACAGTAAATGTAAGATAACAGAGGGACGCTGCATGTTAATGAGAAACACTGTAGAACGGATATACCCCCACGTCCCTGTCAGATTACCTACCCCTGCATCACCCATCATGAAGTGTTGTGTCACAACATTGAATTGTCAGTGTTTAGATTTAGTGTGTGTTACTACTACTACCACTCTACATCACATTTCATTGATTAGTTTCATCTACTTTTTACATGTTTCACTTTAAGCTATTTTCTTTATTATGTTACTATCTACCCATTTTAAACATGGATCGGTTACTTTTAACTCTTTCATCTGATGTCACTTTTAGCAAATCATTTCAACTGTTTATCCTTTTACCTAATTATTTCCCCTAGTTTAATTTTTGGCTCTTCAAACAATTAATCAATTTAACCTTTAATTATAGGTATATTGTATAATTCTAAATCATGTATCGCTACTTTTAGCTAACTAGTTTACCAAACTATTCCTGTTAGCGGTAACTGATCTTCACACTACACTGTATATAAAGATGGAAAACATGCCATCTCCCCAAAAATGAAGCCAAAGCAATTTGACCGCAATCTGGTGGCTGACTGCAGCATCGGTCATAAACGCTGCCTCTTCCATGTTAATGGATGGGACACAAAAAGTCAAATATAATTTTTTCATTGATTGTTTCTACCATTTTAGGTAGTCCTTGTCATACTGATGTTTGTGCAATTTTGTATTTCCCGCAGTAAATTTGGTTTTAATTATATATTTCAATGCTATAGAACGTTGTGAAATGCCATAATTGACAGCTGAGGTCGAAACACGACTAGTTTAGGTCTCTCCTGCAGCTCCATCCTCCAATCGATACTGCATTAACTCCAAATGCGCAAGATGGCGGCGTTCATATTCAGGGTATTTTGGCTTTGTTTCTAGAAAGTGGGGGAAAGTCAAGATGCATTGTCCATCTTCATATACGGTCTATGGTTTTCACACACTCTAGTGCAGTATGTAAACACACACACAGTGGCTGACATGATTTTTAGTTTTCTTACTCAGTCTCTACAAGTAGTACTACAGTAAAAATGATAACACAGAGGTGACAACCTACCACTCTTCCTCACATTGAGATAGTCTCATCTCACCCCCACCCCTCCATCCTGCTTCCTTTCGCCCTTGACTGTTGGGCAATACACCATCTGCCAGCGGATGCCACACATTAGCCATTATGTAACTGCACTCCCATCCCCTC